TTTCCCATGATCAGGTTTATCCTTCCTCGCTCTATCTCCTCACTTTCCTTTAGACCCTGCAAATCAGAACAGATATGAAAACCACATCCTGTATCAAGGACCCATGAACGAGAAGATAATGAGTTATTAGCAGAAATAGTGTAAATACCTGCCGAAGATGGCTTCACTTTGCCATCCTTGATATCTTGCAGATATTGTGGGCAAGATCTCTTCCAATGCCCCTTTTGGTTGCAGTAAAAGCAAACTGCCTCTTTTGGATCAGAAACATGGGGAGTGGAACCATTGGGCTTAGCCTTTGGTCCATTACTAGATGACCCAGCTTGAGCCTTGCTCTTCCAGTTTTGCTTGGGAGGACCTTTCCTCTTTTTCCCCTTTCCCTGTCCAATAGCCAAAACAGGGGCATTCGTAGGTGTGGAGGGTATACTTTTACCCTTCATCCCTGCCTCAGCTGTCTGCAACAAGTTGTGCAATTGGGCCAAGGTCTGCTCAGTATTGTTCAAATGGTAAGTTAGAATAAACTGACCATAACATTCAGGAAGTGAGTTCAAAAACCATGTCAATGGCTAATTCCTCATCAAAGTGAATATTGAGCTTGACCAAACGCTCTATGTAGCGTTGCATTCTTTGCACATGTGACACAACCGACTCCCCATCTTTCATCTTGCAAGCCATGAGTGACTTGACTACTTCGAACTTTTCTTGACGAGCTCGCTTATGGTACTTTTCCATAAGGTCCTTATTCATCTCGAAACGCCAGTAGTCCTCATAGTACCTCTGCAGTTCTGGGGGCATAGTTGCCACCATGATGCATGCCACTTTGGTAGCATCATCGTAATGTTTCTTGTAGGCAGCAAGATCTTCAGGAGTAGCTTCATTCTCATCAAGCTCTTTGAGCTCCTTTTCAAGAACATATTCTTTGTTCTCGAAACGAAGAGCCATTTTGATGTTGCGCATCCAATCGTTATAGTTTGAGCCATCCATAACGACTTTGGAGCATATATTGAGCAAAGAGAAGTTTTGGTTGGAGGAGGACGAAGCAGAAGTGTTTCCAGGAGTAGACATCTGAAAAAAAAGAAAGTTTTAGTTAGATTTCAAGATACCTTAATAGAATAACCCAAAGATATAATATCAAGGTTAGGATCCAACTATGAAGATTCACAACTTAGAAATGGGATGCCGAGATCCAAGTGCAAATTTCATAAAGGTAGGTGAATGACGATTCACCAATTCCACCATTAGACGAAACAAACGAAGTGAAATTCCTAATTCTTTTGAGATACATTGAAACTATTCAATGGCATGTTTTAATCTCAGATTATGCTCTTCTATTTGTGACTGGGATGCCGAGGATCACAAACAAGATGTGAATAACCATGCAAATGTGCTTGGTAACCTCATTGTCTTTATCATTTACTATTGATGTGCTGGTAAACCACACACACTCCATCAAAATGACAATTATGAGATACCCATTACTACTCTTTATTAGTGCCTTTTAGTGTGCTGGTTAACCACACACGCTCCACTAACAACCAATAAAGCATAATGTGCAATTTCATGGATTAGCATACTTTTCACATTTTTCCTAAAGTAACTAGAGTTGGGATTTTGAAAAGAATGTTCTAGTACTTTCTTTAATATCATTATACTTTTAATGAGAAGTAGTTGTCCTATCAAATCCGTTCTGCTAACGACCCTCCACTAATCAAGGAAGCGGTGGGTGAGAGTGGACACCCATTCAACTATTATTTTATAGGCAGTTTCCTTATACCCCCCTTATAGATTAGCTTCGTGAATGAGGCATACTAGCGATTTGACTGACCATATTCTTATACATATATAATATTAAACTTTTAATTATAATATATATATAAGGTGTGTTTTAAAACATTTTAAAACTTCAAGGGTTTATAAATTTCGAAATTTAAGCTATTAAATTTAAATTTAAATAAACCAATTAACTAGATTTAATATTTATCTTTTAATTAACTATTAATCAAATTATTAAATCTTGTAAGGATTATCTGATTAAATTAATCCATTAATTTAATCCTAATCCTTATCCCTCTAAATTTCGAAAAATAGGGTAAGGATAATTATCCAATTAATCTAATTAAGTAACAATTATCCAAACAAGAAACCCTAGTTATCCTCTAGCATATTTCGAAATTCACAAGGGAGTAGGCTAGGGTTTTCAAAACCCTAACCCTAATTTCGATTAGGGTTCTTTGGAGGCTAGGGTTTTCGAAAAAACCTTTGATCCAAAACCCTAGAAATCGCAAATTATGGCCTTTAGGGTTTAATAGCTATAAACCCTAATTTGCAATTCAACAATTGTAGCAATTCAATTTAAAACAACAATGGCTCTGATACCACTGATGGGTTTTAGGTAAAACAAATAAACCAGAAAACAATTCCTAAGTTCACATGCAACCTACTTTGGATCTATGGGTTTAACTATTGAACATACAACTTTGAATTGCAAAATAAGAACCCTAGAGGAGAGAGGCTAATTTCGAAATTAACAAACTAGGGTTTAGGAGTTACATACCTTTCAATTGTTATAGCAAACAATTGATAATCCTCTTGATCTTGATCTTGATCTTCTTGGAAGCTTAGCACCACAAATGTAATGCCTCTAATGGAATCACACCCAAGAACTAGCAAGAAGGAAACTTGGAGGAGAGAGGATGGAGAGAGTATGCAATTTCGGCCTTAGGGTTTCTTCCAAAGAAATCAGTACCCAAAATGTGAGCCAGGAGGCTCCTTAAATAGTTGAGGGAACTAGGGTTTAAGGAAAACCCTAGTTATCCTTTGCTTAGGGCCTAAGCAAGACCCAAGGCCTTATCTTGGACCCCTTGGACGAATTCTATAGGGTTTCCCCTAGGGTTTTCGTCCACCCCCTTCCAAGGGAGTTCTGGATCCTTCCATTCAACTATCAGTTAATTGCAAACTAGTCCCTGCACTTTATAATTAATTCTTTTAACCCCAAAATCAATTCTGATTAATTTCTGGCTAACAATTAATTAAACATAATGATTTCTAATTAATATATTAATCCATTAACATATTAATAAATCATTTATATATTAATTCATTAATCTTATAAATTAATATCTCTTCTTTCATAATTTCCTTGTCCAGTTGCTAGGTTGAGGGCAACCCAAAAGGACTGTGCTGCTATCAATTCAAGTACATACCAATTATAGTTATGGGCTTAGACACCTAATCCAACAAAACACTCCTTCAAGAGGAGTGTACGGCCGCACACATAAGTGTACGGTCGTACAATCAATGTGGTCGTGAACTCATGCATATATATAAGTCCTTCCTTTTTTTCCCTCACTTTTCACACTTCCAAGTCAAGAAATCCAATTCTCTCTCAACTATCATCAAGCCGTGAACTCCATAGGAACCCTCAAAAGTGTGAGTATCTCTTCTATCTTCTAGTTAAGCTTGAGAAACACTTGATTCCTAGCCTTGAATCTTCATCTAATGCAAGAACACCAAGGGTGTACGGCCGTACACCCCTCTTATGGCCGTAAGCCCTTGTTTGGTGCATGTTTTGGCCTCAAACTCATCTTATGTCCCAATATAGGATCTTGAACACTTAATGGATGCTATATAGGGCCGTAAAACACCACTTTTTCATGTTTTCTTCCATGAGTGTACGGCCGTACACTCCATGACCGTACACTCAATGGTCGTACACCACATTGGCCGTACGCACCCTTGTGTGGCCGTGAACCCCTTTAATGCAATCACATGTGATTGTAACACTTCATTACAAGTGTTTCCTAGTCCATAAGATAGTTTCCTTGCATGTTAGTTGTGTTAAACACTAATTACATCCTATATATGCCATATATGTCATTAGGACTCGTTTGTGTCTCGGGAATTCATTCGTGGAACTTCTCATCCTTACGCGAATCTTCAATTGAATCACCCACATAAGGTGAGTTCATACCCCTTTAATCTAATTTTTCAAATGATTTTTAAAGCTTTTTAGGGGGGAATACAAGTTGAATACAATTATTAATTTGTGTTATAATTGTATGTGATATCAATTACACAAAGGATTTTCTTATGCTTTTAAGGATTACCTAATATTCAAAATGACTTAAAGTCATGTTATATCTTTAAAGTCATGTAAACTCTTTTGAAACCCTGTTAAAACTCTTTAAAGTCATATAAATAAGACTTAAAGGGCTTAGGACTAATGAGTTGCCTTATCTCCTTTTCCTTGTTTGGATGTGGGTTTAAGGTGAGGTTATTTGTTTGAACATCGTTTCTTTCTTAATTATATACATTATACATATGGGAATATAAAAGGTTATTTCCACTACAAGAAAAAGACCCTTTTACAACGCGCAAACCACGACACTCATTGATTTATGTTACGCAAAAGAGAGTGACATTAAAAAAATGTCGTCTCTTCAAAAAAAAATTAAAGATTTAGGTCACGCATTATTGTGTGCCCTTAAATTAGTGTCTAAACAAAAAAAAACACGGAGGGCACCTATAGTAAAATGCGTGTCGTCTAAGGCCTGTCGCTTTATAAATTTTAATGGAACGTGCGTTCCATCCTTTAATAGCAGGGGGGAAATGAAATCCTAAAAAATTAAAAACCCCGCGTTTCATCCATCTTTTAGGGTTCCCTAGACCTCATTTGCAGGTTTCGTTCTCTACTCAAGTTGTTGTTGTCCGGGAAGGAATAACGAATTCATCATCTCCACCAGTCGACAACCTTCACTCTCTCCTTCTCCTTTTCTCTGTAAACCCTAATCTGCCTCCACCACTACTGAATCCCTTTTGTTTATCCTAAAGGAATAACGCAACCAAGCTCGTATCTCAGATCAAGTACGCCGGCGTGGAGTTAAGAATTGAGGGCCTGCTTCAGGCTCACATCCTCGCTGACGTGCATCACGTGATATTCCAGACCAGCGAGGTTTGATCGACTTGAGAGCTCTGATCGGAGGCTGGAGCAGCGGCTCTGGTCCATGGAAATCGGAGGAGGTGGTGAAGGATGGTGGTTGGAGGAGGCGATGAATAACATGAACGAGGAGATCTTGTTCCTGACTGTATCCCAGCCTCCGAATGTACAACAATTAAGGCAAGATATTTGGGGGTTTCTTTCAAGAAGCAAGTTCAATGTACAGCAACAAAAGTTTACTTGGTCTCAAATTCTTCTTGCCCAGGTTGTTTTTCTGCCCTCGTTGTACTTTTAGTTATCCCGCATCTGCTTATAGTCCCGAGATGCTTTCCATGTTCTTATAAGCTTGCTGGTGTTTACAAACTTATTGGCACGCATAAACTCTTTTATATCTTGTAATCAGCTTCATGTTTAATAAGAATATATACTGTGCATTTTGATTGTAGTATGAGGCTTGTAAGGTTTTCAGGTCATATTGAATCAAAACTGCATAGGCTAAGTTGATGATCTGTTGTGAAGTGTATGTTGCTTTGTGCTATATATGTTTATGTTTTCAGGTTCCAATGGCTCCAAAACAGCCAAACACAGGACTCTTTGTGGGTCTAAACAAAGGGCATGTTGTTACCAAGAAGGAATTAGCACATCGTCCTTCCGACAGAAAAGGGGTAAGTAACAAATCATGATATCTAAATTGTGTTGAGTTTCTTTTGGTTAAATTAATGGTTGTATTTCTTTGGATTATATATAGAAAACAAGCAAGAGATCACACTTTGTGAGAAACCTTATTAGAGAGGTTGCTGGATTTGCTCCTTATGAGAAGAGAATCACTGAGCTTCTCAAGGTTGGAAAGGACAAACGTGCCCTCAAAGTGGCAAAAAGGAAGTTGGGGACTCACAAGAGAGCAAAGAAGAAGCGTGAGGAGACTACAAATCTTTTTTCTTTTTACTTACGTGGTTCACAAAATATATACTTATATTGACATAGTATGATGAATGTTATTTATTTAGTATGATTTGTTGTATTACACTGGTTTGATATAGATTGGGTCTTCTTTTTGTAGGTCTGGTGGAGGCGCTGAGAAGAAAAAGTGAGTTTTTTCATTCTTGTTGGAAAGATAGAGATCTCTTGAGATTTTTTTGTCTTTTGAATAGAGTAGAGGTTTTGGTATTTATTGAAAAGCCTAACTTTTATATCAGGCACTATGTCATGTTGGATCAACCATGGACCATAGATTTGTAGTTATAATATGCATAACTAAATATTTTCTCAATCGCTTTACAAAAGTATATGTTTATGACATTATGAATTTTATCTATCTTTGTGTGTGGCTTTTATAAACACAATAAACATTATATCTTACCTTTTTATTCTTGTTGTTGGCCCCACAATTGAGTTTACAGAACTTTGGGACTCAAGCAGATGAAGACCAACAAGAACTAACGGTGGGACCTGAGTTATGAGCTCTGCTTATGTGGTTTTGGGAATTGACATGAGGTGAGGGGAAAGTGTGTAAAGATATCAGAAAGCCAGGACAATCATACACTATATTTGCGAAATATTATCAAAACATGGAAAAAGGAGGAAGTAAGCTTACTCTTTGAGGCATTTTATCAAATAACTTATGTTCTGTTTTCTCTATGCATATTACACTTATGCTTAGGTCTTCTTTATATTGGTTAGTTCGTAGCCTTATGCATGTGTGTAAAAATATTTAGGCATTCCTTTTGTATATGCAGGCGATGATTACGAGATCAAAGTATGGAACTACAAACTGCATCGGTGTTTATTCACGCTGCTTGGCCATCTTGATTACATCCGGACTGTTCAATTTCACCATGCGAACCCCTGGATTGTTAGTGCTAGTGATGATCAAACTATCCAGATATGGAACTGGCAATCCCGTACTTGTATTTCTGTTTTGACTGGACACAACCATTATGCAATGTGTGCTTTGTTCCATCCGAAAGAGGACCTTGTTGTGTCAGCATCATTAGATCAGACTGTTCGAGTTTGGGACATTGGTGCTTTGAAAAAGAAAACAGTTTCCCCTGCTGATGATATCCTCCGTGTTGTGTTCCAGCCTCCAAAGCTACAGTAGCCATCATTGTTGACAAAATGAAACCTACGGGACAAGTTTTTCTTCCCACCCTATGATGAACACAATTAATAGACGCAACTACAATGGTGGCTGCCAAGACTATAAATAGAGACTTCATTCTTCAGTTGTATGCATCCCAAAAACACAGAGAAACAGATAGTATAACACTTAGAGTGAGAGTGTTAGTGAGAGGGTTGGTTTTTTGTAATAGTTGAGTGTGAGAGTTGCTCCTCCTATTGTAATTCTATTTTCGTGTTTAATAGAAGAGTTTTCCAACCCCAACAACTGGTATCAGAGCTTGGTTCGGTGTCCAGGGAATTCTTTACGAATTTCTCTGTTTTTTCGTCAAAAAAATTTTGTCTCAAAATTCGTTTTTGAGTACACCGTTGGAAAGGGCTTGTTTCAAGGATTCCGAAAATATATTTTTCGTAATTTTTTGACCACCAGAAGGCCCTCAAATCGTTGGTCAAAGTTGGTCAAATATGGCCGGAAAAGTCGCCGGAAAAACCAGGTGGCCGGAGAAGACTGCCGGGGAAGAAGGAGTGACGTCATCAGTGAGGTCATCATTGACCAGAATTTCAGGAAGTTGCAGTTTAGCCCCTGAAGTTCCAGAAAATTGCAGAAAGGTCCCTCTGTTTCTGAAAAACTGCAGTTCGGTCCCTGTTCCTCTGAAAACATCTGTTTTGGTCCCTGCAGTTCTGAAAAGTTTCAGAAAAGTCCCTGGTTGGCAGAAATATTTCAGATTGGCCCCTGTAAGTTCCGAAAATTACAGTTTAGCCCCTATAGTTCTGAAAAGTTACAAATTAGCACATAACTTTTCAAGAAAGTATATTTTGAGCCCGAAAAATTCTACCCCACCATTTTTGACGCTTCCGAATCCAACCGAGAGCTCGGTTTTATCTAATTTTTCCTTGAAATATTTGTAAAATAAATTTGCAATTATTTTCGATGGAATCTACAAGTACGATTACGATGGTTCGACTTACGCCCACAAATTACAACATGTGGAAGCCAAGGATGGAAGATTTGCTTAATCTGAAAGATTTAGCAGAGCCTATAGAAAAGCAAGGCGTCAAACCCAACACGAAGACAGACGAAGTTTGGACTAGAATAAACAGGAAAACGGTGGCACAAATTCGACAGTGGATCGACCACAGTGTTTTTCATCATGTCTCTCAAGAGACAGACGCGTACAAACTTTGGGAGAAGCTCGAGAATATGTATCAGGCAAAGACGGCACGCAACAAGACCTTGCTGATGAGGCGCCTTGTAAACCACAAGTTACGAAGTGGTACGTCCATAACCGAGCATACGAGTCAGTTCCAGGATCTCGTAAACCAGCTCGGTGCTGCTGATTGGGTTCTCAAAGACGAGGAACAAGCCATATTGCTCTTGAGTTCTCTACCAGATAATTGGGAGACGCTTGTTGTGACTCTCAGCAATTCTGCCCCCGGTGGTAAAGTGACAATGGAGATGGTCACAGATGCCCTAATGAACGAGGAAGCCAGAAGGAAAGAAGCTGGTACAGACCTCGTGTCAGAAAACAAAGAAAGAGGCGGAGGCAGAACTGGAGGCCGAGGTCGAGGTAGAGGCAGAGGTAGACATGGTCAAAGTAGAGGAAGATCCCAAGATCGTGGGAAATCACGAGATCGAGGGAAATCGCGAGAGCGAGGTAAATCTTCAAATACATGGTTCGAAGGCTATTGCAATCATTGTAATTATTATGGTCACAAAAGGAGTGATTGCCGAAGGTTCTTACGAGAGCAGCCCGAGACAAGCCAGAATCCAAGCAGGGAGAATGGTGAAACCATGGTCACCATAACACAAGACGTTGCCCTTGTTACATACGAGGAGGAAGCATGCCTACATGTTGAAACTCATGATGATGAGTGGGTGATTGATAGCGCTGCATCATATCATTCGACTCCAAACCGGGATTTATTCAGTACTTATAAACCCGGAGACCATGGTACCGTGAAGATGGGAAACACCAGTTTCTCAAGCATTGCTGGTATTGGTGATGTGCATTTAAAGACCAATGTTGGATGTACATTGGTGTTGAAAGATGTTCGGCATGTCCCAGAGCTGAGAATGAATCTTATCTCAGTTGGAGCTCTTGACGTCCAAGGATATGATAATCAATTCAAAAATGGCACCTGGAAGTTGTTGAAAGGTGTTATGGTTGTTGCAAGGGGAAAACTTGATGGTACTCTTTATAAAAGTCATGCAAAGTTGCTTCAACCAAGTCTCAATGTTGTTAAAGAAGAGACATCACCAAACTTGTGGCATAGAAGACTAGGCCACATGAGCGAGAAGGGATTGACGACTCTTGCAAAGAAGGAGTCCATTTCAATGGCAAAAGATGTTGCCTTGGATCCTTGTAAATACTGCCTATTCGGGAAACAACACAGAGTTTCCTTTAGCTCCACAAGAAAGAACCGCTCTGAGTTGCTGAGCCTTGTCCACTCCGACGTATGTGGACCCATTGAAGTAGAATCTCTTGGTGGAAGCCGGTATTTTGTGACATTCATTGACGATGCGTCACGAAAGGTATGGGCATACTGTTTGAGAACGAAGGACCAAGTATTGGACCGCTTCAAAGCTTTTCATGCAATGGTGGAAAGACAAACAGGCAAGAAGCTAAAATGTCTCCGATCAGATAATGGAGGCGAATACTATTCCCGTGAGTTCTCTAAATACTGCACGGAACATGGTATCAGACATGAAAAGACTGTCCCACGAACCCCACAACACAATGGTGTAGCAGAACGGATGAATCGCACCATTGTTGAGAAAGTTCGATGCATGCTCAGCATGACTAAACTCCCAAAGCCATTCTGGGGTGAAGCTGTATTGACATCTTGCTATCTAATAAATAGGTCACCTTCCGCTCCATTGAATTTTGAAGTTCCGGAGAAGATATGGACGGGTAAAGACATATCATATTCTCACTTGAGAGTATTTGGGTGCAAGGCGTTTGCACATGTATCAAGTGAACTGCGGAAGAAGTTGGACCTCAAATCCACTCCATGCATCTTTATTGGATATGGAGATGAAGAGTTCGGGTACAGGCTATGGGACCCAGAACTAAAGAAGGTTATTCGAAGTAGAGATGTGGTTTTCTATGAAAACCAGTATTATGATTTCAAGGCACCGGTTAACAAGCAACAAAGCTCCAAAGTTTCAGATATAATATCTGAAAATAAAGAAGATGTTTCCGCTGAAGAAGTGGATGAAGAAGTCGATGATGCATATCAAGAAGGTGTTGATGAGGGGGAGCTTCCACCCCTGGATAATTCAGATCCACTGCCAGAAGTTGCAAATGAAGGAACTCAATTTCGACGATCCGAACGAGTACGTGCTCCATCAAGAAGATATCCGACTTCAAACTACATCCTTCTTACTAGTGAGGGGGAGCCAGAGAGTTTTCAAGAAGCTCAATCTCATATTGACAAAGCAAATTGGCAGAAGGCCATGGAAGAAGAAATGAATTCTTTGCAGAAGAATCAAACATATGAGTTGGTAAACCTCCCCAAAGGAAAGAAAGCCTTGAAAAACAAGTGGGTTTTCAAGTTGAAGAAAGACGGCAAGGGAAATACTATGAAGTATAAGGCGAGACTCGTTGTCAAAGGTTTCCAACAAAAAGAAGGAATCGACTTTGATGAAATTTTTTCGCCAGTTGTGAAGATGATGTCTATTCGAGTTGTACTCGGATTAGTTGCCAGTCTAGATCTTGAACTTGAGCAGATGGATGTGAAAACAGCCTTTCTCCATGGTGATTTGGATGAAGAAATATACATGGAGCAACCTGATGGCTTTAAAGTCCCAAAGAAAGAGCATCTCGTCTGTAAATTAAAGAAGAGCCTTTATGGTCTTAAGCAAGCCCCAAGGCAGTGGTACAAGAAGTTTGATTCATTTATGATGAATCATGAGTACAAGAGAACTGTTGCAGACCATTGTGTCTATCTGAAGAAGTTTCCAGATGGGAAATTTGTCATCCTTTTGCTCTACGTGGATGATATGTTGATAGTGGGCCAAGATGCAATGATGATCAACAACTTGAAGAAGGATTTGTCTAAGTTCTTTGATATGAAAGACTTAGGCCAAGCACAACAGATATTGGGCATGAAAATTATCCGTGATAGAAAATCAAGAAAATTGTTCTTATCACAGGAAGAGTATGTTGAACGTGTGATCAAAAGGTTCAACATGGAAAATGCCAAGCCCGTTGGTACGCCCTTGGCTAACCACTTCAAGTTGAGTAAGAAAAATTGTCCATCTTCTGAGAAAGAAAAAGAAGAGATGAAGGCAGTCCCCTATTCCTCAGCCGTAGGAAGTCTTATGTATGCAATGGTGTGTACAAGACCAATATTGCTCATGCTGTCGGTGTTGTGAGTAGATATCTAGCTAATCCGGGAAAACAACATTGGGAAGCAGTCAAATGGATACTTCGATACCTGAAGGGTAGTTCGAAACTATGTTTATGCTACGGGGGAGCAAAGCCAATCGTGGAAGGTTATACAGATGCCGATATGGCAGGAGATCTTGATAGTAGGAAATCTACATCAAGTTACATTTTTACTTTGGCAGGGGGAGCTATCTCGTGGCAATCCAAGTTACAGAAGTGTGTCGCACTGTCAACAACAGAAGCCGAGTATATTGCTGCCGTTGAAGCTGGGAAGGAACTTATATGGATGAAACGATTTCTTCAAGAATTAGGCTTTCCACAAGAAGAGTACATCATTCATTGCGATAGTCAGAGTGCTATGGACCTGAGTAAGAACTCGATGTACCATTCCCGTACAAAACATATTGATATACGTTATCACTGGCTTAGAGAAGCAATTGAGGGACGAGAATTGAAGTTGTTAAAGATCAACACCAATAACAATCCTGCAGACATGTTGACAAAGGTGGTGACACAAGAGAAACACAGACTATGTGCTGACATAGTTGGGATGAGGATTGTTGGACGGAGACTGGAGGGGGAGATTTGTTGTGTTCCAGCCTCCAAAGCCTCCAAAGCTACAGTAGCCATCATTGTTGACAAAATGAAACCTACGGGACAAGTTTTTCTTCCCACCCTATGATGAACACAATTAATAGACGCAACTACAATGGTGGCTGCCAAGACTATAAATAGAGACTTCATTCTTCAGTTGTATGCATCCCAAAAACACAGAGAAACAGATAGTATAACACTTAGAGTGAGAGTGTTAGTGAGAGGGTTGGTTTTTTGTAATAGTTGAGTGTGAGAGTTGCTCCTCCTATTGTAATTCTATTTTCGTGTTTAATAGAAGAGTTTTCCAACCCCAACACTCCGCCTCAGTCAAATGAATACTGATTTCTTTGGAGGAGTTGATGTTGTTGTGAAGTATGTCTTGGAGGGCCATGATCGTGGAGTCAATTGGGCATCATTCCATCCCACTCTTCCTCTTATTGTTTCTGGAGCTGATGATCGCCAAGTCAAGATCTGGCGCATGAATGGTATGGTGTCTTTACAGGGTAGTTCATTTGTTAATAAGCTTTTAATTTCCATCTCTTCTTGTGTCATACATTATCACCAAGATACTTCGGGATCACAAATCTCACTTATCAACTTTATCTTTCAGATACCAAAGCTTGGGAAGTAGACACATTGAGAGGTCACATGAACAATGTATCATGTGTTCTTTTCCACGCAAGACAAGACATCATATTATCAAACTCAGAGGACAAAAGCATACCCGTTTGGGATGCCACAAAAAGAACCGGCCTTCAAACATTCCGCAGGGAACACAACAAATTCTGGATACTCGGCTATCATCCCGAAATGAATCTCCTAGCAGCTGGCCATGACAGTGGCATGATGGTTTTCAAGCTGGAAAGAGAACACCCTGCTTTCTCTGTTAGGATCCTTCTACAGCACATTCTACTGGGGGATTCTACAACACTACAACAGTAAGTACATTCTTTTCTCAACTAAATAAATTATTTTATGGGTATGTCTAATTTAATTTTTTTAATGTTTGACCAGATTACGAATTGAGAGGTTACAAAATTAGTGTGGGAATGGTTGAGAAATCTGCTCCAAGGGCTCCTCTTGCTCATGAGAGAGGGTCAAAATTTGATATCACTGGGTCAATTTTGTATGTTATTTCCTAGTCTATACCTGATAGAAAATTTCCATATAAAATATTAAATTTCTTAAAAAATAAGTAAGTAGCATTTGAAAAACTTACATGGAATAGAGATATGAGTTTACCCTTCCAGTTTGTCATCGGTGTGGAAAAGGGGTTTGGTTTCAGGGGTTTGAACACCTACATTTCAACCAATTAAACAAGTTGAAATTAAAGATGGTGATAGTTTGCCAATGATAACTTTATTGCATAAACAAACATTTAAACCTTATTTTCTATTACCAAAGCTATAAATGATCAAGTTTACCAACGGGTTGGCATGCAGGTTTCGTTGGAATGTCTTCCTCAGTTAATATGTTCGGGGTTTTAGTCTCGTTTGGGTTCACTGAGAGAGCCAATGAATTAGAAGTACGGTATGTAGGCTGTATTTAAAACTCCTATATAATAAAATATCTCACCACAAACCATCTGAATTTTGTTAATTCAAGTCTTATTTTGGATCTTTATATTTCCACAGGCATGTTATGGCCCTAAAATGACTGTGCCACCATACTACAATCCTGTTGTTGCATCTGGTCATGCCCCTCGCCCTTATATGTGGGGTCCTCTACAGGTATAACATGCAAACAATTATCTCCATTCATTCAGATTTATCAGGTTGACCTTTGGGTTGACTTTTTTGTACTTGCAAAATCACAAAATCAGCATATGATGCCACCATATGCTGCTTTCTATCCACATGGAAGTGTTTATGCACATCTTGTAGTTCATCTTGTAAGTCTTCTTGACCTTTCTAAGATCATCTTGTAAGTCTTTTATGAAGGTGGAAACAATATTGATGGGAACTCACACAGGTAACATATCTTGCATCAAGCCTATATTGGTTAATTTACGTGCTTCCACTTTCCACATATAAATGGTAGCTCGTTTATAAAACAGTGGGGAGACTGAAGGAACGAGTGAAGGAATTGATGGGAATACAACTGAGGTAAGAAACCTTTATGTCATCAGCTGAAGTTGAGAAGGCTGAGCCACAAATGATGGCTAAAACTAAGGTAAACTGAGACAGAGCTCTATTTTTAACTTTGTTTTACTAACTTTCTGTTTTTAAAACATCATGTATCTTATAAAAGTTTAATCTTTATCTGGTTGGTTGATCAGTTGAGCAGCTGGCAAATACCAACAGATGTGACTGAGCAAAGAAAAAAATGGGCTTTCATCGATTGAAATCATGTTTTACAACAGTCTTCTATCCATTCTTGGCGTTTCTTATAATAGTTACTGGAGAATTCTCAAGTTCAATCTCATTATTATATGCAAAGGTCAGGATCTCCTTATGTGTGTATATTTAGTGTTATGAGAAGCCTTTAATTCTTGACATTATTTGGTAAATAAGCAAAAAGTTAATTACTAAGACCCTGGTTCTTTTCCCCCCATTAAGTGTTGTCTTGGATGAAGTGCTATATGATAAATGATGTTAAAAACATATTTGAAAAGTGAATAAGGGGAAACTTGTTAAAAGTTAGGACTTGATAAGGATAGTTAAATTCACATATTTTGTAAGGATAGTTAAATTCACATGTTTTGAATCATTTAGAGTACATGTTTCTCTCTTACATTATTTTTGTTTCATTACTCTGTAGGGTGGAGATGATGCTCTCGACCAAGCTACAAATGAAGGGGGAGATAGAGATACATTAACTGTTATGGCGCCTATTGCTAGAAAAGAAAAGAGAAATAAAGCTTATGATGTGGACATGATATCTGAAACAAGAAGGTGCCCCTTAATAGCAATGTAGTATTAGGTCATATAGTTCGGGAAAATCTTTTAATAACAATGTACAATCGGATCCCCTTTATACCAATGTATTACAAAATTTTGACATGATGTTATTGTAACGCCCGTGTTTCTAGGCTAGGCATTAATATTGACATGATAGTCTAGGTTAACCTTTGTGACTCATTTTGAAGAAATGAAAAGGAATTATGTGAATATTATGTGTTTTATGTGTTTTATGCTTAATTATTAGGGTTTAATTAATTAAGACTAAAAATGAGCGTCGAAAATAAATATTAGATAAAGCCGATATTTATTAAGAAAGTTGTAGTGGTCGTGACAAGGATTACGGATATATAAAGAATGTCGAAATCCGAGTTATAACGAAGAAGTTATAATCTGTCGAAGTTTCGCGACAAACCGGCACGGTGCCGAATATCGTAAAAAGTGAGTTTTTGATAAACTACTTTTTAGCCTTAGTGATCTAAACGAAAATTGTAGTGTTCGTTAAACTGAGAGTATGTATAAAAAGAACGCCCAAATCTGACTTCGTATGAGGAAGTTATGATTTTTCGAAGTTTCAGCTTAGGAGTAGACAACTAAAAACTCGAATTTTAGATCGAGTGATTTTTAGCCGACACGACCTAAACGAGCCAGGTGCTGCCCCCTTCGGATCTGCTGCCGCGTGCCTTCTCTCCAACCATCCGATCAGCAGCCTCCCCTATAAATAGAAGGCTGCGAGCCTTCTCGGGTAATTTTGAGAAATTGTCTATTTTTACCCCTTTTTCAATATTTTAGCTATTTTAACATCCCCCGAAGCCCCGGTATCAATTATCACCCCCGGAATACGCCACGAAGTGCCCGAGAAGCCCGGAAAATTTATCTTTTCGGTTTCGAAGCCCAACCCTCGCAGAGCCCGGTTTCTCAATAAAACTCTCGATTTTATTAGAAACGATCGTTTTAGGAAACGAATTGCTGCCCGATTTTCATTAAATCAGGTGAGTGTGTAGTTACTTTCACCTTATACATAGATATGAAGTATTTTATATAAAATACGTGCTGCTTGAATATATATTGTTTGTCTATTTGAGATGGATGTTGAAGGAATGATTTATACATGTTTTTAAATAATTTAAACTGTATATGTATTTTATCTACAAAAATGTTGGGTAAACATGGGTAGATGAAATAGTGGGTGTGTGATGAAAGGTGAGTTGGATAGATGAGATGATCAGTGATATAGATCATGAGTTGAGAGTGAGTGGTGAAATGAGATCATGAGTTGAGGGTGAGTGGTGAAATATGAGAAAAGCCCTTACCCAAACGTTGAAGTTGAGTGGTGAAATATGAGAAAAGCCCTTACCCAAACGTTGCCCCCCGTCATTCAGCAGAGTATGGATGACAACCACGGACTATTCTAGACGGTCTGTGGAACACTAGCAGGCCCGCAACCTGTAGGTGTGTGAACTATATGTTCATTTGTTGTACTCTAAAAACCCATTAACATGTATTGCAGGGGGGATTCCTGTGAATAATAATGTCGATAAATAAAAGCTATGGACTTAGCACATGTTGGATAAACCTTGGCAGCTATGGACTTAGTGCTTGTTGTATAAACCCTGGCGACGATGTGACTTTGTGCCTATTCCTTAGGATGAATCCTTAGGAAGGAGTGATAGTTGATTCTTAGGGTAAACCCTTAAGAAATAAATAAGATAATGGGGTTGGGGTAATTTGGTTGATTGTTGATGTTTAAGCATAATAAATTTATTTATTGTGGGTTGAAAACCCTATATGCTCACCAGGCTTCCAAGCCTGACCCACTCAACTTTTTATATTACAGGTAGTGATGAGTGATTTATGGATTATAGGCCAGTAGTTGTAAATAACTGTTGTAAGGCTTATAATGTCTTGTTTATGCTTTTGATCTGTATCGGAACATGACATCCCGAGGTTTTGATATAAAAGGAAATTATATATTTCTTAAAGAAAGGTTTTGATAAACTTTTATCATGTTTTGTTTTGGGAACAAATTTCGCAACATCTTTTAAAAGGATTACTCTGATTTTATTTTAAAAAGCATAAAATAAATCGGTCTTTTCTGGCCGAGAAATTAGGGGATGTCACAGTTATGCATGAAATTGATTGTTTTGGTATATATTTGTTTCCATATTTTTGTATTACGCGTAAATGAGTATCGTAAAGACGCGTCGTAAATGTATATCGTAAATGGTTGCTGAAGTTTATGACACGCATATGCGTGTCATCTTCATTTATGACAGGGGCTTTAATGATACGCAATGCGTGTCGTAAACGTGCGTCGTAAGGTAACGACACGCAAATGCGTGTCGTCTTCCTTTATGACAGGGGCTTCCTTGATACGCATTGCGCGTCGTAAACGCGCGTCGTAAATGTATGTCATAAATGCGCGTCGTAAATGCGTGTCGTCCATAGACGACGCGCAAAAGCGTGTCGTCTCTCGTTATGACAGGGTCTTCCTTGACACGCATTTGTGCGTCGTCTGAGCGTTTTACGACACGCATTGCGCGTCGTAAAAGTCTGTTTTTCTAGTAGTGTTCAGTCGGTATCATTACCTTTGTATCATGCTGAGCAAAGGGATATATTCAAGAGAGATCATGCCAATCAGATAGAACGTATAAATTATAATAGGTATAATTTATGATTCAAAACTAAATATACAAGTATGATTCACGATTGTATACTTTACATTCCAAGTATATAAGGAAAGGAAAGTACTAACAATTCAATTATTTACACCAGGATACATATAATACTTTTAGTATATGGATAATATATTAAAGAAGTAATAATACATCATACCGGGTTTGCACTAACAGGGGTACAAATACAACGTACCAGGGTTAGCAATCACGGGGTAATAATACATCATACCGGGTTTGCACTAACAGGGGTACAAATACAATGTACCAGGGTTAGCAATCACAGGGTAATAATACATCCTACCGGGTTTGCACTAACCGGGGTACAAATACAACGTACCAGGTTTAGCAATCACGGGGTAATAATACATCATACCGGGTTTGCACTAACAGGGGTACAAATACAACGTACCAGGGTTAGCAATCATGGGATAATAATACATCATACCGGGTTTGCACTAACAGGGGTACAAATACAACATACCAGGGTTAGCAATCACGGGGTAATAATAAATCTTACTGGAAACAAATGAGAAATCTATTTTTCTAGATAAGTATACGAGATATAAACAACTTTATCATAATTTAAACCCTAATTAACCAGGATAATATTAGGGTAGTTATTCACCAGTAGTTTATTCTTTTTAAGAAATACTATTGTAGTATTCACTTTTCAAAATGGAATGGTTTTATGGGATTAAAGCTACTTATCTGAACGGTTTTATGGGGATTTAAAACTACTTTTCACCAACAAGAAGGAAGACATCCTTCTTATAATTTTATAGATAGTTAAAATTATGTTAAACCTTATTATAAGTATAATATTACTTATATGGAACAGTTTTATGGAATTAAAACTACTTATCAGTTGTAAAACAGAAAATATAAAATTTTCTGGAACGTCATCATTCGTTCTCTTAAAACTAGTATAACATAAAGGACCTCAAATGGTTAACTTTATAATTCCTTAGTTTATATACAAGAGTTATACATAATTAATATCCGACTAACAGTGGAATGTGTGATTTCTGCCTTACTTCTTGTTCTTTGTTTGGTTGTGGGCTTAGGGCAGATTCACACATTTAACTGTCAGTTCGATATTAGGTTATATATGATTAGTATAAACTAAGTAATTGTAGAGGGAACTATTATGGTTATCATATTGTCACATCAGAAAATATAGGATTTTCTGGAGGAACCAGTTAACTTTTCCAAGAACTTAGAGTATACTTCATATAACTAAAATACTTATGAACTCACCAGCTTAAATGCTGATCTACTCTTTCAAAATAACTTGTATTCTCAGGAATCCAATAGACAGGTACACTCCCGAAGCTTTTGAGAAGACTGTCTGGTACCGATCTGCAACTCTTGTCTTCTATTGTATCTACTTTGACGTTTGAATATGTAATGTTTAAACACTTATGTAAAACTTATATTTATTAATGCAATGGTTGTTTGTACTTTGATTACTATAATGCATGTGTTGTGATACTTACATGACGTCCTCCGCCCCCGAACGTTTCCGCCGTTCTAGTTTGAGGGTGTGACAGATTG